CGGTGGGGGCCCGGGGCAGCCGTTGGGGTCCCATGTGGGGCAGCCCCAGGGGGCCCTAGGGGGGGTCTCTGTGGGGCTGGGGCAGTGACGCCTCTGTCTTACAGGAACAAAAAAAAGAAAACCCGGGATTTATTCTCTTTTGAGCAGATTTCGAATCCGGTCGCAGGCGAATTCCTGGGAAATACGCCCTGCGCGTGGGCGGCGGCGGAAGGAAAGCGAGCGCAATGACATCCGCCAAGCCTGCGAAAACGACGGGTTTAATTCGGGTTGGAAGCCCCGACAGCGACGGGCGTCGAGGTCGGTAAAAGAAACCTTGGGAGGGGGCCTGAGTTTGGGAGGAAAAGCCAAGTTTTCAGCTCAAAAGCAGCACGGTGAAGCTCCGCTCCCATTAACGAGCTTCGGATGACTTTAACGACGGCGGTTTTCAGACGAGCCGCGTCGAGCTCAAACCCAAAACCCCCTGGATACGACCCAAAACGGAGAGGTCTGAGACGGAGGTAGGACCACGAACCGAGGTGGAAACGTCTCCAAGACCTGGAGAAGAAGAGTTGAGGAGCATCAAGGAGCGTTTCCAACCGGCTTCGGGGGGTCCCTGCGCCGGCGCGTCAGCCCCTGGGGGCCAGTTTGATGGTGGAGAGGAGCACGCAGAAGTAGGGGAAGACCCTCTCCCCGCTGAAGGAGGCCACGGGGAAGGTGAAGACGCGTTGTTGGGCGGCTGCCGACGGCGTAGAAGGAGACCTGGCCCACCTCGTAGTCCAGGTAGACGCCGATCTCCCCGTCGAGGAGCGGGACGGAGGTGTTGGAAGGAGCCGTGAGGGCCACGCAGAGCTCGTCGTACTTCTGCAAGCCCCAGATCTCGGCGTTGGGCTTGAAGAGGACGCGGCCCTTCCGCCGAAGGGACTCGCGGGCCACCCCGACAGCCCAGAAGCGCCCGTTGGCCTCCACCTCCCAGTAGTGACGGCCCGAGGTGAAGCCCTCACTGCCCAACATGCACGGATCCGTGTCGAACCGGCCTGGACCTTCGGGCCACCGGCGTCCGGGTCTACCCCAGGTGGCCTCTTTGAGGTCCTCCGAGAGGATCACCTCAGGACCCACCGTGGCCGGATCCAGGGTCACGTCCACTGGAGAGCAAAAGGGAGGACAAATCAGAAGTCAAACTTAAGCGTAGAGGACGCACGTCCCAAAAATCCTCTTCGTTGGTTACGTTTCAAGGAGAAAGGGACTGGTGAGGTTGGAGATGGAGGAGCCAAGAGGTGGAGGATCTCCAGTTGAGGTTGGAAATGGAGGAGCCAAGAGATGGAGCTTGGAGATGGAAGATCTCCAGTTGAGGCTGGAGATGGAGAAGCCAAGAAGTGGGGGTTGGAGATAGAGGATCTCCAGTTGAGGCTGGAGATGGAAAAGCCAAGAGATGGAGCTTAGAGATGGAGGATCTCCAGGCCAGGTTGGAGATGGGGGAGCCAAGAGATGGAGGTTGGACATGGAAAAGCCAAGAGATGGAGGTTGGAGATGGGGGATCCCCAGTTGAGGTTGGAGATGGAGGAGCCAAGAGGTGGGGGTTGGAAATGAAGGATCTCCAGTTGAGGTTGGAGATGGAAGAGACAGAAGATGGAGCTTGGAGATGGAGGATCTCTAGGCCAGGCTGGAGATGGAGGAGCCAAGAGATGGAGGAGCCCGGGAGATCGAAGGCGGAGCGGGAGGATCTCCGACTCCAGTGACCATCTCACTTGATGCAGCCCAGAAAACATCAGGTCGGTACTTTGCCCCTCTCCGGCCGCCTTTGGTTACCTTCAAACTGTTTTGCCGTGTGGTAGTCCAGGGCAAGATCCCACGTGCGCGGCCGCGGTTTGAGGAAGAAAGCCATCGCGCCCGCGAAGTCCTCTCCTCCCGGCTAGAGGCGCAGAAAGGGAAAAAAAAAGGATAAAATGAAATTATTATCCTACAGGTGGGCACATCTCAGCTTTTCACCCGTTTCCGTCAGAAGGCGGGTTCAACCTCTGCATTTAATCCAAATACTTGAAAGAAAATGCCGGGTTTTTCCCAGCAGTTGCAAAATTCGTTTATGGGGAGACCCACGGAGACGGATTCAATCTATTAATTCCTCGACGACTACGAGGAGCACGTTGGGATGGACCCGTCTACCTCGTAGATACGATTATATCCCCGAATCCCCGTTCCATGTGCTGGCTCAGGGATGAATCCGTCTTCAATCCATCCCTGCCTCCACCATTCATTTTCTTGGGCAATCAAAGCCGATGAGGTTTATTTGAGCGAGAAAAATCCTTAAAAATTGAGATAAGCCGAGTTCAACTCTCTCGCGTCCAGAGAAATCCTGCGAAAGGTGGAAGAATTTGCCGCCGGCCCTGGGGAAAATGTGCGCGGGGGAGATAAGGGTTGGCGTCAAAGGGCCTCGAATCCGTCGCCTGAAACACGGCCTGGGGCTTTTGAGTGCAAAAAAGCAGTTGCCCACGGTAAAGGGCACGGGAAATTAGTAGTAAAGCCCCAAAACAGTTGAATAAACCACGCCGCGACGCTCAAAAGTAAGCGAGTTGCTTCTTTTCCGTGTGCTTTCCCCAGCAAAGCTGCAGAGAGGGGAATTAAAGCAGCAAGCGGATGAGTAAAAGTGGGAAAAGGATGGGAAAATGACCCTTAAATTAGGATATAAGCAGGAGCCGTGCTGTTCCTCACCCCAGTTTCCCCAGCTGGATCGTTATGGGACGACGAGAAGCAAATAACAACCATGTCCAACCCCTGCAAAACACCTTGAAATCCGAAACAAAGATCCTGAGGGCAAAGCAAGGACAAATCCGCTTTCCTTCCCTTACTGATGAGATGGGGAGAGTGCTCAAAATCCCCTTTTCCCCCCAAAAAAAGACATCAGGGTGATGTAACGCACCCGGTAGCGCTGGGATTTTCCCCTCTCGTTTTGGGGTTCTCGGCGGCACCGGTGCCGGTTTGGGGTTCCTCCGGCTGCTTTTCTGTCTCTGGCTTCTTCGCCGCTTGTTTTTTTTTTTCCTCTCTTGGGGTTTTCTTCCTCCCTCTCTCTGGCACAGGCTCAGCCAAAGCTCGGTCCTGTCTCTGTCTCCGCCAACTTTTATCGGCCGGGGAGGGAGGAGACCTCCAATCTCCTGCCCGCAGACGGGGCCGCAACGCGCTCGGACGCCTCCTGCACCCTCCGATTGCGCCTTCCCCCCCCGCCCCCCGCCCCCCCCGATTGCCCCTCCCCCCCCCCCGTCTTCTCAACATGCCAGGGAGGAAAAAAAAAAAAAAGCGGCGCAAAAAAATGTGCATTATCACACGAAATTGGGTAAATTTCTGGCTGCAGCCCCTTCCGTGTGACGGAGCTGAGCGAGGCAAAGCAGAGCTGAGGGATGAGACAGCAAAGCCCAGAAACAAGATGATTTGGGGGAGATAAAACAAGTTTTGGGGGAGATAAAACAAGTTTAAGGTCAACTGTAAGCGAGGAAATTTGCTTTTCTCACCCAGGAATGTCACCAGCTTCACTCCACGCTGCCATCGCCAACCTCCGGCACCGATTTCTTTTCACCGGAAAACGCTGGCGGAACGAAACCTTCATGCCGAGACCGGCCACGACGTCACCGCCGCCGCAATCTCCTGGTGTCAAAGAGACGAAAAACCCCTCGGGGGCAAACGAGTGCCCCCACCCTAAAAAAAAAAAAAAGGTGCAAAGCGTAAATATTTTAATTTCTTGGTGGGAAAGGAAAGAGAATCCGAGTTTTCATCCCGGATTAAGTCCTAAAGGGACGTTTAAGGTAGAATTAAGCATCCGCCCCCCGCTCCCCGGGATCCTGGTTTATTTTGGACCAACTCTAAAGAGGGAACAGCGACAGGGAAGGGAAAGGAGAAGGAAAAGCATCCGGGTGAGCGTTAATTACATTAATTAAGCCACGTCCCCAGCTCAGCGCCCCCAGCTCCGGGCAAAACGGTTTTTTTAAGATTAAAGAGGAAAAATTTGGGTCCGGGGGGTCACACATGGCCTGGTGGGGGGTTCTTTGGGGTGTTTTCTCCTCCGGGAGACAAACAAAGCCGGGTCAAAACCGGGGTCACCGGGCAGCGGGAGGCCGAGGGC